GGTCTTCTCAATGTTTAAAGTCAGTGAGTTAAATTCTCCTGTTGAGAGTTTGTTTTCTCTGACTCAGAGAAAGATGATTGCTCTTCTGAGAATGGAGCTGCTGAGGTGCACGTAATGTAGGGGTCACAGGTGATTCAAGGTATATTGACAGAAGGAGGGTACTAGGGAGAGACTCTGTAGTAACTGTGACTGCAGAATAAATAATTGGCACAGTACTTGGAAGCAAACTAAAATTGTATTTTAAGTATTGTCACTCAAGGCATTTTCCTCTTTCATGTTAAAAGAATAAATAAACTGGGCTCTGGCAATGACTTTGAAGCCTTTTTTCAACGTCTTGGCATCGCTTCAGGCAGAGCACGTTACAGTAAAAATTGGGTAAGTCTATGTCTTTGTAATTTTATCCCCCCTGCAACTGCCTGAATAATATCACCTGTAATTGAACCATTTAGATGGCCAGCTTTTTGGAGTAGTTCAGTTTAGTTTGTCAGAGTGGACACCTAGTTCATTACCAGGATTCTATGTGCTACTGCAGCACAATTATTTAATAAAAAGGAATGGTCAATATGATGTCAGTCAGCCAAAAGGGCCTTTGCTCAGAGTAGATGGATGTGCTTAGAATTACTTATGGCTTATGAAGGCATATGAGTGTCTTATAATGACTTTTGAATTACTTATAACAACTGATGAAGCTTTGATTTCAAAATGGTTCGTATTTCATATTTTATTGAAAATGTGCAGTGAGATGAGACTAATTGAGAGCAACCTATTCAATGGGGTCTTTTCCTCTGAAAAGGCATATCCAAAGAGACAAACATACTCATAGAATCATAAAATTGTTTAGGTTAGAAAAGACCTTTAGGATTATCAAGTCCAACCATTAACCTAACTCTACCAAGTCCACTGCTAAATCATGTCCCTAAGCACCATATCTACAAGACTTAAATGCATCGAGGGGTGGTGATTCAACCACTTCCCTTGGCAGCCTGTTCCAGTGCCTGACAATGCTTTCCGTGAAGAAATTTTTCCTAATGTCCAACTTAAACCTCCCCTGGAGCAACTTGAAGCCATGTCCTTTGTCTTGTTCCTTATTACTTGGGAAGAGAGATCAACACCTACCTTGCTAGAACCTCCTTTCGTATAGTTGTAGAGAGTGATAAAGTCTCCCCAGAACCTCCTTTTCATCAGACTAAACAGCCTGGTTCCCTCAGCTGCTCCTCATAAGACTTGTGCTCTAGACCCTTCACCAGCTTCATTGCCCTTCTCTGGACCCACTCTACCACCTCTTGTATTGAGGTGTCCAAAACTGAACTCAGTACCCAAGGTGTGACCTCACCAGTGCCAAGTACAGAGGCACAATCACTTCCCTAGAAATGACTGAAATGACTGTTAAGATCCAAGTGGTGAGAGAAAGGGCACTATCACCTTCATTTAACAAACTAAAAGTTATGTATTCCTTCTTAGTTACTTTCTTTAGGCTCTGTACATGGTAGATAGATAGATAGATAGATAGATAGATAGACAGACAGACATATTTAATCTCTTCATAGGTTCGTGTCTAAGAGAGCCACCACTGAGCAGTTCTTCTCGTTGAACTCTGGTGGATAGGACTAGTGTGACCTGAACACTTAAATTTCCAGTGCCTTGAATCCACAGCAAAAGTTTTTAAGCAAAGCAGAGATATCCACAGCTGAACAATGGTTTTGTTTCGGTTTGTTTGTTTCAGGATGTAGAAAAATACAGCAGCTATCCAGTTTACCACAGTGTGTATGAAACCTACGAAATTGTGGAGAGGTTTTATGATCCCACTTTCAAGAATCATCTGACAGTAGCTCAGGTCCGGGGAGGGCTGGTCTTTGAACTGGCCAACTCCGTTGTGCTTCCTTTCGACTGCAGAGATTACGCTTCAGCTGTGAGCAACTACGCTCACATCATCTACAACCTGTCAAGGAATCATGAAGAGGAACTGGCAACATACAGTGTATCCTTTGGTACGTCCAGTCTTTCATTGCACTCCTCCTGTGTTCATCCCAGCAGTCCCTTATCTTCATATTTGTCTTAGTCCTGGCCTGGTATTTACCTCGTGGTGTATGAACAGCAAATAAAACAAGAATTTGAAATTCTTGTTTTTGAAACACCCTCCAATAATTTGAAATTTGAATATTTTGTCAGTAGTGTGCCTGTGTAAAGGCTATGCCACTACTAAGTAGAGCTAACACTTAGAGTCACATGTTCTCTGACCTGTGCAAGATTTACCAATATGGGCAACAAGATATCTTTGTCTTGGTCCCTAAAAAAAAATCTTACTGCATTGCAGTTTATGGTCATCTGATTTTCATTTACTGAGAACTGAGAGAACATGATCACAGTGAAAGATAAAGCTTTAATTTGAAAAATTTGATTTGTCAAATGGTTCATTCAGAATCTGAAGTTAAATACTTGCTTCCTGCTCCCCCCAGATGCTCTCTTTTCAGCTGTGAAGAATTTTACAGAAATTGCTGCTAGCTTTCATGAAAGACTGCAACAAGTAGATATCAATAAGTAAGTTTAATTCTTTTTTTCTTCCAGTCAAATACTGCACATAGTCCTCTGGGCTCAGAGGGCATAGCCTTCACTTACATTTGGTCCCCTGAATAGCCCTGGTGACAAATGACTGTCAGTCATTTGTTTCATTAGAAGTCCTTATTGACTCTTGTCTTTAGGGATCTGATTACTCTAAGAAACAAAGTACAGAAATGTTGAGTTAGTGGATATCAGAGACTCTGCAGAGCCTGGGAATCTAGCCATCTTAGCTCCAAAAGTGTCCAAGCTTATTAGTATCAATGCTTGAGCAGTGCCAGGATGATGCATGGGTGTGACTAGAATGCTGGTTAGTGTGAGCAGAGTCAGCTCAGGTGTATAGCTCCTAAGAGGAGACATGTCCTAAGATTTTATTACTGGATTATCATTAAAAGACACATGTTGACTCATGGTCTTTGTTTGCCAGCACTCTAGTTTTCAAGATACTGGTGCCACTTGATAAGGAAAAAAAACAAAAAAAAAAACAAAAAAACAAAACACAAAGGTAGCTGTACCATGATTGTAGTTGTGGCAAGCTTTCTGACAAGCTCTCAAAAAATTGTATGCACCACCCATGCCAAAAGGCCTAATTTGCACTTGACTTAATTCTTAATTTATTCTTTGTAGGCCATGCCCAGAATGAGAAACCCACCTTCCTTTTATATATGCATATGTGTATGTTACATTTCTTGGGAAGAATCTCATTTAGCCATATGTTTATCCGTATGGAAAATGAAGTGAGAATAAAAGCCATCTTTTTAAAGGCAGCATCTTTCAAGATAAATGAGTTAACAATAATTTCTTATGTAAAATATGACATTTATGACATATGACATGTATGTGACATTTTCAAAATGGTTTCATTGATGGATGGCCAACCAACCAGTTTCAATTTCCGTTTACTCCAATGTAAAGTTGAAACAATTTCATTGAGGGTAGTAGGGTTATTCTAGGCTTACTGTGGTATAAATTTTACAATTTTTTAGTTGGTGAATGCTTTTGAGGTTCTTCAGTAAATAATTTTTTTATGTAAACTACCATACCCACATATATTCGGCATAGTCTTCACAGTTCTTTTATTTGTTAAGCATCAGTAATATGCTCAGACCTATTCAAAGCACACAGACACAGATGGTCTTTGCACTAGGGAATTTACAATCTGCCATCAGAAAAACAAAGTTCTTGGATGATTCAAAAGATGATTCTAACATCACAGGGTTCCTTTTTCTCAGGCGTTGTGGTTTTACATAAAAATAAGTGTGATTTTATTGAAGTAATTTGCAGCTGATTGGCTTTGTGGAATATAGAGTCCTCTAAAAAGTGTCACACAAAAGAAGAGGGTGGTCTGCCTAAACATCCTAATGAAAAGGAGATAAGGAATAAGGTGAAATATGAAGGGAAATACTTGAAAGCCTCTGTCTTCTTTGACACTATTCATTGACCTTTAAAAACAGCTTTAAGAAACTTTCAGGATATTAACCAGGCTCTCTCACAGTACAGAATTCTCTTGTTTGGGTTAGCTGATAGGGGCTGTCATGTGGGCTACACTTTAAGTTCAACATCTTGGCTCTACTTTCCTTCAAAATCCAGAACTTTCCACACTGGGGCACAGAACAGCAGTGGCCTAAATATTCTGTTGCTAATGTATTCCTCTGTTTTCTTTTTAGCCTACTTGCTGTCAGGTCACTAAATGATCAGCTCATGTTTCTAGAAAGGGCTTTCATTGATCCTCTCGGATTACCTGGCAGGCCATTCTATAGGTAAGAAATGCTTATTTTTCACTTTCTGCCTACAGTACCCTATGAGAATTCCTTTAAGATTTACAGGTCTGCAAATAGAATTGTAATGATTTTATTAAACATGGTAAAATTGGATTAAACAGGACAAATAAGACTGAAAAGGGAAAACAACATTAGGGGAAACTTCAGTGAGATACAGAGTGAGAAAAAGTCTTGTTGGGAGCCTATTCAGATCAGTAAACCCATTTCCATTGATTTCCATGAGCTTCTAAACAGATCTAAACGCTTAGTCCTGGACTCAGTTCAAGTAATTTCAGTTGTAAAGGATCTATGGCAAGTTATTGTGATGTGAAAGTGAAATAGGATGTAACTGAACTTTCCTGCAGCTTGATGGGTTATAGGAGAACACTCATGCTAGCAAATACAGCATAGAGGGCAGTACTTGGAACAGTAGTGATGTGAATTCGGTAGTTCCCTGATTCAGTTCAAGAAGGAAGTCTTGTTTGAGAGTCAAATCAGGTCTAACTTTTTGGTCCTTTTAATAATTCATAATTTGCATAATTCAGAAGAGAACTTTCCATTAAAAGGTAACTGTAGAAAGAGAACATCTACAATTGTGCCTGTCATAGTTTTTGACTGAGAATCTGTTGAGAACAGTCTTGTATTAATGCATCAGCTTTCCTACCTCAAAGCATTCCTCTGTCAATTGGAGACTGTATATCTGTGAGAAAAGCAGCTGGCTGTTTTTTTTTATCTTTCCATTTCATCTAAAATGAGGGAAAGGAAAATACATTAGTCAACTTTATCTCAAGTCTTCTTAGCTACAAAGTTCTGGAATTCACATGGAATTATGTAGTTATGTAATTTTTTTGCTTCATAAATTATAGGCACTATTGCTGCAATAATGCTATTTATTTACATCTTCAGTGTCAAGAACTTAACACGTGATATAGAAAGAGATTAGTTTTATTCCGAAAATAGTATGTTTTATTTCCTAAACCAGAATATTTTTTTCCCTCCATCTCCCTACAGACATGTTATCTTTGCTCCAAGCAGCCATAACAAGTATGCAGGAGAATCATTCCCAGGGATCTATGATGCCATGTTTGACATTCAAAACAAAGCTGATCAACAGGAAGCCTGGGAAGAAGTGAAGAGGCAGATTTCCATTGCAGCCTTCACTGTACAGGCAGCAGCAGAAACACTGAAAGAAGCAGCATAAATACCAACAACATAATCATCAGTGAAGATTTTATATGACAGTTTGCAGAAGCCTTGAAAACGGAGCATTTAAAAACACAAGGAGGATTGTTATAAAGAACACAAAATGAAAAAAAATCTTGTTCTTTGCAAATAATGCACTCAGGTGGAATACATTTAACAATGTTAACAAGGTAATGTACTCCATTTGGAGAGCTCAGGCTTTAGGTAACTTCTGCAGTGAGAATGAAAATGTTTCAGTTGTCATATTTCAAGAATAGCTAACCACTGGATTTCTTTCCAGAGCTTTGAATTTTTCTAGCTTGATTGTTATAGGACTAGAGGGCTTGGAAGTAGATGATCTGTAAGATCTCTCCCAACCCAAATCATTTTATGATTCTTCCCATAGTGCATTAGGAAACCAGAATTAATTTCATGTTTCTGTCAGGTTTTGTTAATGACTTTTTTTTCTTTGCCTTGGAGTTGCAAAATTATATTCCAAGATAGCCCTTTCAGCTCTCTTTTTACACAAGGAATTGTGTATGAAGAACGGAAAACTGCCACATCCTGTGTGAGGGGTGTATAATGTTCATAACAAGCTTTGGGCAGCCAGCCCACAATACTCATCCATGACGATCTTCTCTTCACATCCTGAGTCTTGCAGCTGTTTGCAAATAAAATTAAGTGAGAAGCCTTCTAGACACCATAGCAAAAACAAGGATATTTTAATCTCTGGCCGAGCCATAGCATTGTTTCATTTAAGTATAATTAAGGTCCTTTTTTAGCAGTAGCTGGCAGATAGTATACTACGTCAGGCCCCAGAACCTCACAAAATACAGAGGTAGTTACACTCTGTAACTACAGCAACATCCATTTAAAAAAAAAAAATGATCCCTAACCACTGCAGGGTGTAGCATATAGGGACAGAAGATCTCTCTCTCCTATTGACTCTGTTCCCCTGCACATAAATTCAAAGCTAACTGGTCCAGAGAGAGGAAGCACCCATAAGGCTGGTTTTAATACAGTAGTTTATGTGAGGTTTTGGAACTGTGGGATTCAAACTGCGTAGTGCCTTCTACCAGATTTGAGTCTGCTTTGTTACCCATCTTTGTTCAGTGCAAGCCACAGCCTATAGCAGTTCAATTTTGAAATCAAATGGAGCTTTGCTTTATTTTGTGAGAGATCCTCAGACGGACTCAGTCAAGCCCTTTCCCCAAGCCCTCATCTAGACATTTACCAAAGGGATTTGGGGTCAAAGACGCTGTGCTCCATGCTATCAGTGAGTTTTTCCCCACTTGCTTGTCAGCACAGAGGTTTTCTGATCCTCATTCTGAGAAGCCTGATTAATTGGTGCTGACTTCTCTTGAGACAGCCATTGTGGTTCTTGTCATTATTAAATAAATAAGCAATGTGCATTTAAAGCACTGTTGGTTAATAGGTTCTTGCAAACTTTGTAGCTGCACTGAGGAACATTTTCAGTCTGTTGATTCTTAGAGCTCAAAAAACTGACTGAACCAGACACCTGAGCAAGGAGATGTGTGCTATGAAGCAGTCTACTAAGGAAAGGCAGTGAGAAGCCAGATACAGGACTAACTGATTTTTAAGTATCTGTGAGTTTTACTATGTCCAGATGTCTCAGAGAGCTCTCAAGCTTTGACATTATTGCATAGTAATTGGTCCATAAAGACTGTTGAATTAAGTAAAAAAAAAAAAATCAGTTGTTAACAGGAACAAAACCCAAAATCAGCTAAGTGTTTTGAGTTCACAGTATACTGATGATCTGACATGAGCCAGTTTTTCATGTAACTACACATATTTTCAGCTAGAGATGGCCATCAGCAGAGCTGTTTGCTATAATGAACTTTCAGTTCTTCTATTTTCTAAATATGCTGTAATTAATACATGGAAGAACTAACATCCTAATTCCAGACACCTCCTTGCAAACAGTCATTTGGCTTTTAAAGTTACTGCACAGAAACTCTCAGAGTCATTGACTTCTGTACAGCAGCAGATGACTTAGTAACAAGACAAGAGCTTTAGAAGTGTCTAGTAAGCAAAGGGTAGAACCTAACCAGCATTGTGACATTGTTGAGAGCATCCTTTCCAGTTTGAGCAATTATGCTAAAGGATCTGAAAGAAACCAATGGTATTTTTTCAAATTTTTTGACTTCCTGTCATATGATCACAAATTTGATGCTGTCAAAATTTTCCAAACTCTATACAATGTCTATCCTATGCATTGAGTCTAAATCAAATGAAGTGAAAGCATACCTTGCCTTGCAGTGAATGGAAGAATATAATGCAACCATAGGATCACAGAGTTGGAACAGAACTCAGGAGGTTTCCAGTTCAAACTCATGCTCAAAGCTGGATGAGCTCCCAAGGCCAGACCAGGTTGCAGAGTTTTATCAAGTCCAGTCTTGAAAACCTCCAAGGCTGGAGACCGCATAACCTCTCTGTGCCACATATTCCAGTGCTTTGCGGCCTGCATAATGGAAAAACTCTTCCTTACATCCAGACAGAACCTCATGTTGTCTCAGTTTACAATGGATGTTTCTCATCCTCCTGTCATGCATCACTGAAGAGGCTGGTTCTGTCTTCTTGAGAAACTTCTTGCACATGCTGGAAGATATAATTTGGTTTATGTTCAGTGCATGGCCCTTTACTCTCTCTGCCTCACTGGGTACATTCCTCTTGTAGAAGAAAGGGTCAAAGGTTGCAAGCTGAACTTGTCAGCTGCTAGCAATATAAAAGTTATTTTAGCTGGAATCCGATAATGGACTCCTGAAGTTCAAGATAACAGAGGCTCAACTCAAAGCACCAAAATTCACTACCCTTTTAATCTCAAAGTCAGATGGACTGCAGAGGCCGTGAGAGAGTTCTGGGGGACTGTGCAGCAGTCAAAAGGAAACTTCTGGTCTGAAATTGCAGTTGAACATTCCCCTGCTGCCATTTTTCCTGCAAGAGCTGCCTTTCCCACAAACCAGGGCCCCCTGATCTCTCAGGCCACAAGTTCAACCTTTAGTCAGACAACAGGTCAGGCAGCACGACAGCAGCGTATCTTTCTTGCTGCAGGTATTAACCTTTGGGGCCCCAGTGCTGAGCAGCTGCAATGCAACGTAGAAGCCCTGGCATGTTCTGTGAATTATGTATTGCTATGTACTGTTGCTGGTTTTGCTGATTGGCTGGCTAGCAGAATTATGCATTCAGCAAACAAAAACCTGCTAATTTTGCATTTGCCATGTGTATCTTTGGCAGTTTTGGAGCTTTTCTAGTTTACCAGGTATATAGATATGTATATAATAATTTAACTAAGTAGAATATGTTTAGCTGTCTTCAAGTTCTACTAGCTTCATCTGAACCTCTCTCTTGTTTTCGCTCTCAACGTGCAATTCTCACCCCTTCTGTGGTAAATATAAGTCCTATGCATTAACTGGTAGTTTTCTTGCTAGTTTTAAAAGTGATACTAATTTGGGGAACTACTGTGTGTTCAGCAGTCTGTCTATCTTCAGCACCTTTTTTCAGTTGCATCTTTTTGAGACCCCTATCCAACCTGACCTTCACTGTTTCCAGGGATGGGGCATCTCTGACCATTTCCATCTCTGGAAATGTGGGCCAGTATCCCACCACATTCAGCATAACAGATTTCTTCATTATATCTAGTCTGAATCAACCTTCCTTTAGGGTAAAAACATTACTCCTTGTCCTATTGCTACAGACCCTACTAAAAAGTCTGTCCCCATCTATCTTCTAAGCCTATTTTAGGTATTGAAAGGCTCCCTGGAGCCTCTCCAGGCTGACCCACCCGAAGTTTCAGCCTTTCCTCTCAGGAAAAGTCCTCTGATCATTTCTGTGGCCCTATTCTGTGAACCCACTTCAATAGGTCCATGAAAGAAACCTGCAAAAAAAATCCCTTATTCAGCTGAGAGAGAAAAACAAATGTTTCAAGAATTTAGGGCTGTAAAGAACCCAAAAATTCCAATTTAGGAAAACAGGAGATTTCAGCATGTGGCTTTATTCAACACCGGAGTTGGATTACAACAATCTGTGAGAAAGAGACCAAATTCTTTGAAAACAATTTTTTTTGCACAGTTGTTTAATAATCTGTTCAAGTGATACATACATGAAGTTCATTCCTCTTCTGTGCCTGATGAAGAGCATGGATGGAAATATGACTGGATAAGTTTGCAGAACTGGTTTATGAAGACTCACTTCCTTTCCCAATGAATATTTTACTCATTTACAAGTCCTGGAGGAGTTTAGGAGATAAAAGATCAGCCCAGATTAGCCAGTAACTACAGCACTAGAGCACAGAGTGAGGGTTTTTTAACAGGTGACTTCACTTTCTGTGGGAAATGATGTAATTCTAGGGCTCTTCTGAGTAACAAACTTCCCTGACATTGTATCAAACTCCCACTCCCGCTCTGGTATGTCTGAGCCATACAGCCAAGGGAACACAAAGAAACTGCTCAAACATTTCCATCAGTGCATGGATCAGTCCAGAGCACCCAAGATCCCTGGTCTTTTCCACCCACTCAATATTCCCAGCTTAAACTTAAAATAACGGTAGTCATTGTCATCAGTGTAAGACAGGATCCAAAGGCACAACATTAATCACAGGTTTGCAAGACAGATAGTGGGATTTCTGCCTGCTTTTTTTAATCCCTGCTTAGCCACTTTATTCTCGCTCTCCTAAACACACCCTGGAAGCTGCTTTTGCCTCCTGTAGTGCAGTTTCTCCTGGGCACAGGAGGATGACATCTCCAGCACTTTTCTTCAGGCCACAACATGGTAATAAAGCGATTCCTCAGTCAGCCCACACCCAGGATGCCTTTATAGACTTACCTGATCCCACAGCAACTCACTTTCCTCTTGCCACTCCTGCAGATTTTTAACATTTTTATCTGGTCCAAGTGGAGGCACGAGTTACAGCAGAGCTTGCTTCTGAGTAGTTTCTCTCCTCTTTTTTGGACCTCCAGGGCCAGGATATAGAAGATGACACAGCAAAGCAGCAATTTTAAT